AAAATTAGCAAACCAAGTCCCACAACTTATAAAAATATTATGCACCATGACAAAGTGGGATATATCCCAGCTATGTCAAGTTTATTTAACATCTGAAAATCAGTTTATATAATGTGCCATATTAATAGAATAAATGATCTATAACCGACATGATCATCTCAACAGAGGCAAAACGTCTGTCAAAATTCAGTGCCCCTTCATGATTTGAAAAAACCCTCAATAAAGTTGGAATACAGGAGAACTTAATCTGATAAAGAGCATCTATGAAAAACCACAGCTAACATTATATCTAGTGGAGAAAGACTGGGTCCTTCCCTCCTAAGATCAGGAACCTACAAAGGGTATCTGCTCTTACTGTTCTACACAACATTGTGTTGAAAGCCCTGGCCAGAGCAGGTTAGCAAGAAAAAGAAATGAAAATCGTACAGATTAGAAAGGAAGAAATGAAACTGTTGTTCTCAGGTGATTTAATCTGTATGTTGAAAATCCTAAAAAATCCACCCAAAAAATCATTAGAACTAACAAATGAATTCATCACTATTGCAGTATACAGAACTGATAAAAATCAATTGTATATTTATACATTACCAATGAAAAAATCTGAAAATGAAGTAAGAAATTTTTATTTCATTTACAGTAACATGAAAAAAACACAATCTTAGGAATAATTTAACAAAAGAGTACAAAACTTATACTCTGAAAATTACCAAAGTTGTTGAAGAAATTAAGGACCTAAATAAATGGAAAGACATCCATGTTTGTTAATCTGAATACTTAGTATTAAGAGGTAGTACTTCTCAAACTGATTGCAAATCTAGAACAATGTCTATCACAATCCCAAATAGCTTTTTTGTAGAAATTGACACATTCATCCTAAAATTCATATGGAAATATGAGGAGCCCAGAATAACCAAACAACCTAAAAAGAGCAAAGTTTAAAACCCCACTTCCTGATGTCAAAAGTTATGACGAAGCTACAAGTAATCAAGAGAGTGTGGTACTAGTGTAGTGTAAGGGAAGACATACATGTCAAGGGAATAGGATGGAGAGCCCAGGGATAACCCCTCACTTACAGTCCATTAATTTTCAACAAGCGTAATAGGACAGTTCATTGGAAAAGATGGTGCTAAGACAGCTGGACATCCACATGTAGAAGAATGAAGCTGAACCCACTACCACGCATACTGTACAAACATTAAGATGGATCAAAGCTAATACTTATAAAACTCTCAGAAGAAAACATGGGCATAAATCACTGTGCAACCAAACTAGCTAGTGGTTACTTAATGTATGATATTAAAAGAACAAGCAATAAAAAACAGATCAGTTGAACTTCATCAAAATTAAACTTTTATCCTTTAAAGGATGCTATCAGAAAGTGGAAAGATAGCCCACAGAATGGAAGAAAATATTTTCAAATCGTAATCTGATAAGGAACTTGTATCTAGAATATATAAAGAACTCTTACAGCTTTGCAGTAAAAAGACAGCCCAGTTAAAAATGGACAGAGGACTTTGTCTTAGTCTGTTTTGTGTTGTTGTAAAAGAACACCACAAATTTGTGATTTATCAAGAAATTTCTTTCTCCAAGTTCTGAGGCTGGAAAGGTTGAGGGCCCTGGATCCAGCCAAGGACTTCTTGCTGCATCATCCTGTGGCAGAAGGCGAGAGGAGGTATTGAGCCAGGTAGCAAACTCACTCTTATCAGAACTCCCATTCCCAGGATAACAGCATTAGTCCATTGGGGGTGGGGGGCAGAGCCCTCATGACCTAATCACCTCTTAAAAGTCCCACCTTTCAACACTGTTGCATTCAAACCATAGCAGACTTGAACAGACATTTCTCCAAAGAGGATATACAAATGGCCAGTCAGCCACGAAAAGATAAATAGCTAAGAAGTAAAACATCCCAAGTGTCCTTCAAACTGATAAACAGAATTTGATAAAGCTATACGGTGGGCTGTTATACAGAAATATCAAAGTGCTGACACATGCTACAACATAGATGACCCTTAGAAGCATTTTGCTAGGTGAAAGAAGTCAGTCACAAAAGACCACATGTTGTATGATTCCAGGTATGTCAAGCCTCCAGAGTAGGCAAGAAGGATGAAAGAATTGAGGAAGGGCTGGGGAATTGGAAAGGGACACCTGAAGGGTACAGTTTGTTCTGAGCATGATGGAAAATGTCCTAAGGTTGATTGTGGAATTGTTGTACAACTCTGAACATACCACAAACAAGTGAATTGTACACTGTGAATTCTGTCGGAGTGAAGCTGTTACGTAGTACCAGATGGGATTTAGCCTTGTCTGTTTTAAAGTCGCTCTCCTCTCCATCCTAGAGCTGAGTTTGTCTGCTGGGTACCTGCAGCTGGAGCGCAAAAGAAGAGATTTCACCTCTTCTGGGAGTCGGAAGCTCTACTTTGACACCCATGCCTTAGTGTGCCTACTTGAAGAAAATGGTAATCCTCTCTCTCTGGTCACTCGGGACCTTAGAAAACTCTATAAACTATAACTCCTCTTATGGTTCTATTTGATTTCTCATATTTCTCTTTGACTTATAAGGCACTCTTTTGATCAGTCTCCATTTTTTTGGGTTCTCATTTTTTGCTTAAGGATATTTTTGCTTATTAACGCAATAGAGACTTACACACTTTGTACAGTGAAGTTTTTTTTGTACATATAACATCACCGTGGAAGTATAGTGTGATAGGTAAAAATTAAGATAGAAGTCGGCAGAGCTGAGGGATGATTTCTATAATAACTGTGTCTAAAGCACAGAAGTGACAGTTTTAGTACTGTGCGTCTTACTGCTTTTTTTTTAAGTCTTGTGAAATTAAAATGTTACTGAGTATCAATTCTTGATAATTTCAACTTGCTGTGTTCTTTCCTTTTTAATCATGCTAACATTCTCCTGTCAGGGTTCACTGTAGACCCCAATCTGGGTTGGGAGTCAAGAGGGGAGACCAGCTGGGGGAAGTAAGGAGACTCTACACCAACTTAATGCAGAAAGTCTGGAAGCCTGGAGAGAGGCTTCTCAGAAACCTTTTATTAATCTCTAACACAAAGCATTAGATGCAAAATGCAAAGGTGCTAAAATTCTAAAATAGGATTAGAAGAATCCCAAGCCCCCAGGAAGACTGGGTAAAGAGGAAAAGTCCAGGTAATCCGGAACATAGGGTAGTGAGTTGTCAACAGTGGCTGATAATGTACTTAGAAAGGGGGAGAGGAAAACAAGTATGGTCTCTGCAAGGCAGGCAAGCCAGATTCCCTAATCTAGAGTTCAAAGGGCCCAGCCAGCCTGCCTGCTGATTCTCCACCCACGGATGGTCTTAGCGACTTTCCCCTGTCTGAGGTGCCTCTGGGCTCCTTTCATTTTTGGTGGTCTTGACGAGCCCCCAGGGATGGTGCGTATGGGCACTTTGCCCTGGATTGAGGCGAGGCATCCTGCAGAGATCAGTCTGTTTGCCTCTCACATTCTCCCTTATTGCTGTTGAGTTAATGTAAAAGATTGCTCTGGTGTATGTGGCATTCATTCGAAGTGCATTTACGATGTAGGGAATATTCTCATACTTAATCATGTTTAGACAAATACACCAGTTATAATTCTTTATATTGTGATACACAGATTCTCAAAATCAGAATTTCAAACTAGCTTAGATGATGCCTGTGAAATAAATGTATGCGTGTTTTTACTTCCATTGTGTATTTGTTGGTCCAGTTGTCCACGTTCCTATCAGGAAAGCTACCCCCTGTAGATGTGCCTTCGTGCTTAGGACAGAGTGGGGGAGTGAATGAGTGCGTCTGGGGGGGAGTCGGCAGCTCTGGGTCCCAGCCTTCCTCTGCCAACCTCTAGGCGCGTAGCTTAGGAAACCCTTTTCCCTTCTCAGTTTCCGTTTGCTCATCTGTAACATGGGTATAATCAGAATTGCGGAGATATCTTTGAATATTAAATGAAAATGTGCATGAGTGCACGTTGGAAAAACCATCATATGCTATATAATAATTTTCACAGCTTTTTTTGTCAAACCTGAAACATTAGGCCTTTTTCACAAAAACTTCTTTCCGTTCAGAGTTCAAAAGAGCAAAATAGAAGTGTGGTTGAGGGCATGTAAAATTACCTTGATAAGGAGAAGTCTCCCTACTTTTTCTTGATTTTAACCCTTGATGGATGATTTCATCTTTCTTGGCCACACGAGAGTCTGCTGTGGGGAGGGGCTGCTCAGCCACCATGGACAGAGATCAGTGGCAGAGATCATGGCTCAGCATGAGGCCAAGAAGGACCATTCTACACTTTCTTTTTTTTTTTTTTTTTTTTT